CATCTGTATGTCTTTTAAACACATCCAGGGATGGTGACTCCATCGTGTCCTTGGAAAGCCTGTGTCAGGGGTTAACAACACCTTTAGTGAAAAAAATTTTCCTACTGTCCAATCTAAACCTCCCCTGGAGCAACTTGAGGCCATTTACTTTTGTCCTATCACTTGTTACTTAGGAGAAGAGACACTCTTGGTCTTTTTGGCCACCTGGGCACACTGCTGGCTCATGTTCAGCTGGCTGTCCACCAACATTCCCAGGTCGTTTTCTTCTGGGCAGCTTTCCAGCCACTCCTCAAGCCTGTAGCACTGTAAGATGTGAGCCGGGGCCAGTGGCCCTGGTCCTGTTCATTATCTCCTTGAGCAGGACCTGCAGCTGCCGTTGGGAGTCCCCCTGACGTACCGGTAACACGAGCTCTAGTGAAATGCTTTCACATGGTTTTGAGCTGTGGTTATAGCTCTGCTTCCATTTTGTGAGGCTGCATAAACTAAGCCCACACATTCTTGTCATCATTCACTGGCCTTCTGGTGACTGCACAGTCAGTAGTTTTACTCTGATTCCCCAAAGAAAAAATGCCTTCATGTAGAGACCATTATCAAATTTAGTAGCAATTAATGTTCTTGTTATGAATCACAGCACAGAAACAAATTGCTTGAGTCTTAACTGGCCTTCCCAAGAGGTGAACCCACAAGATCAAGAGTAGGACATTTTAGAGATGCCTGTAAGTGCACTTGGTGTTGCTGTCTTACAGATTTATACTGGACTCAGCCTCTAAAGGAGGGAAAAACAGGTAATGGGTATTTCACTGCCTATACACTTCTTGTTAAATTGTCTTCATTTTTTTACTTAGCATCTGCCTCACTAAGTACTCATCATCTGCTACTGAGCTATCTGATGTACAACAGATGTTAAGCACTTAGTGAGGCAGAGAAGGAGGTAAAAGTGTCATATCATGATTAAATATTCGCTACAGCTATTATATAGGGTGACCATACTGCTTTGTTCTTACATTTAATGTTACAGTGTATTGAACAAGAGTAAGCACATTTTGGATTAAACTTGCAACTGCTGTTATTCAAATAATAATAATTATTTTTGTAAGTAAAGTTATTTCATAGCAAAGAAAACCAGTTTACAAAATATTTTAAATACACTTTAGAATCAGGAATTGGAGAGCATTTCATAAAAAGGTAATGTAATGCAACTTCACGTAAAATTATTCCACCTACCAAAGCCACTAAGATTTATATTTCTCGTTAAGACCATTCTCATCAAAAACATGTCTAATGTTAACTGATACATTAACTTCCACAGGATTATCCTACTTTTTATCATGTTTGTGTAAATGTGAGATTATATGTGAGGCTTTCTTTACCCTGTAAGTATTCTAGATGAAGATATGGTAGTCCACTGCTTAGTGCATGCTATGCAACAGAAGGTTCACCCACAGAGAATCTCATTATCCAGCAACAGTAGCCTGGTCTTCTTGCAGCATAGTAAGAAAAGGGTTGAGTGTAAGAAGGTGAAGCTGCAGCTACTATTAAACTATAATTAGTTAAAAGTCTGTTTCCCAGTACATTTCAAGAACTGAGAAAATTTGTCAAATATTGTCCCACATGAATATATTCATACTGCTGTACATAATAAAAAAAATTAAACAGGGATGGAGGGACACGTTCATCCACACAAGAGATATGGTTGCAATGACTAGAACCTCCTTGCAGACGAAGCTGAATTAAAACCTCAGAACAGTGGAAAGCCATCTTAGGGGCCTTAACTAAAGGGTAAGAGTATGCGATTTATATGGATTATCTAGCTCAGCATTCTCCATCAGAGTAAGTTCAATAAGTCTGTTCAGTAAGTCAGAGCAGAGGTTTGATGATCTGTTTTCTGTAAAGACAGCAGATATTCAACTAACAGAACAGGCAGTAATATTTATGTTTTCATACAAATTCCATCCTGGACTTAGCACTTCTCTTGTAACTCAGATAACTAGGAGGATTCTTGCTAGTTTCACTAGGTGTGGAAGTCAGAAGTTCTATATCTCAATGTTTGGAAAACTATCACATCAGGCCAGAAAATACAATTTTAGAAATCAAATAATAACATTTGCAGTGTCATTAAAAGAGTAATTGGAGAGTTCCTTCTACCCTGCCTCAGAAGCTAACTGTCTTAATTGATTTATTAACTTTTGTAAACAAGAAACAACGGCTCAAGATAAGCAGCCCTTGTTACTAGACACCCATTAACACAATGAGGTTATAAATGATTAAACTGATTAAAGGCAAAAGAACACTGGGAATGTGTAGAGAACAATGTGGTGGGGAATTAAGTACCAAGAATTTATTACACCTGAAGAATAAAAGCATACTAAATTTTGAGCAAAGCCTCTTATTTAATGTGGACTTGAGGAGCTTAAAGTCAGAAATTCAGATTCTGTCTGTATCAAAGGAAACAGGAGTTTTTCTCATGTATCAATCCAACTTTGAAAAAAAAAGAAAATGGTTGGAAAATACAATGATGTTCTATAACAGTTAATAAGCACTTTTCTTTCTGGCATCAGACAAAGGAATGGATCTTGAATATGTGAAATGGTGAATAATGAAAGAAAAGGATCAGAAATGGTATATTCTGTTCAACTTCCTGTACATCCAAACGGACTGCTGTACTATAAGGACATAATTCCTGAAGACCAACCACATCTCCTGGGCTGTTTTACCTTTTAGGGAGGCCTCACCTGCTACCCAATCTACTAATTCCCTGAACTAATTCTCAGAAAAAGGTTGCTCTCCTGAAGACCAGGACCAGCATTCTGTTACTCACCTCCCTGATTTTCTCCAGGGTTTTTGACTTGACTATCCCTGCAGTTGGTGCAGCCAAGACTGACATCAGCTTTCACATTCTCAGCCAGTTCTTTCCTGTGTATGAGTAGCAGCTCCAGCAGAGCACCTCTTCTACTCAGCTCCCTCAACATCTACGTAAAAATATTTGTTCTCAATGCAGTTCATTACTCTCTTACATTGTTCGTGTCCTGTCATGTTACTCCACTATTAATGCTGTTGGAACTGTTGAAGTCCCCCATGAAGGTCAGGACCTGTGGTCATGTTGCTTCTACCAGTCGGTTAGGTAAGGTTTCATCCACTTCCTTTTCTTGATCTGCTAGTTTACGGGAGATTCTGAGCATGGTCTCCCTATTGCTGGCCTCTGCTATTATCCTAGCCCTAAAGATCCTGAGCAGCATATTGCTCACTCAATAGCAGAGTTTTAGTTCAAAGTACTCCTTTGTATGGAGTGCCAAAAGCTAACATTGCCTGAAGCCTTTCTCTCAGGGTCAGCAAGTCTGTCGCCTGAGATGTCACCCATTCTTTTCTCTCAAAACCGCTCTCCCCAGCTGCCATGCATCCGCAAAGAGGATCTGTAGCTGTACAAGCCCAAGCCCTGCCTATCTGGGCTGTGCCAGCTGTTCCACCAGGTGTTGACCTCGGGGAGGCACTAGCTTCTTACCAAGCCCTTCCCCTTGTCTGCAGGGTCCAGAATTTTAAATGATCTGTTATTTGCAGGTGAAAAAGAAAGCTTTCAGGATGACATTCCAGTGTGAATTTATCTAATTAAGGATGAGTGGCTTAAATAAAGTAGGTATTCCTATTTTATGTACTTTCACTCAATTTCCTTAATTTACTTGAGTAAAAGCAATAAATTTACAGAGTAACAGTATTCCTTAATGACATTTAAACAAAGCAGTCAAGAAAGGTAGTTGATTTTATTTAAAAAATAAATAGATTATGTTTGAAACTGATCAAAGAAAAACAAGTGTAAATTCAATGTCCTGAAATGTCTCTGGATAAAAACAGATAAAAAATTAAGCAAAATAAAGTGCAAATATTAGAAGGTTATTGTTTTGAACTTTATTTGGAATAAGGAGAAAACTCTTTTCACTCTAAAGTTCTTGATCTCCTTTCAACCACTAATCACTAAAGATATGGTTGTTTTAAAAAGCTAAATACCAAGTTATAAAACAATAACTAAGTTTTAGAAAGGAAACTTACTGAACTGTGTAGCTATATTTCATGCAGACTTTTAGACTGCTTCTTCTATCCCTTAACAAAAAAAGAAGGAAGTTAGGCTCATTAAAAATAAAAAGAACAAAACAGTGACATTGAAGATTTTCTTTCTTATAATAATGGAAACAGTAGATTAGATCATTAATAAAGGAAAAAGATGTTTTCAAGTCCACGTGGCTGGAGAAGTGAGTAACTCAACCTACATCAGCCCTTGCCAGGAAGTCAATTTTTCTGGTTTAAGTTGGTTTATTACAACAACAGAAAATTCTCTTCTTCCAACAGTGCTGTCTTCCTCACCAGATCTCCCTCTTTCCATCACCTGCACAGACTGAGATAATTCTTTCCCTTCTTTCCCAGATCTCTTGTCTTCATCAATCCATGGTAACGCTGCGGTCTCCCCCTCTCTCTTTGCCTGGCACACCCAGCGTGCCAGATACTTGTCCCGTCTAACCATGCTCATGTGTGTCCACAGGAGGAGAAATCTCTTTTTTTTTTCCCAAAACCTCTGCTGAAAAATTAACATAGTTGTGTAGCTCTGGCTTTGGAGCTGAGGCACCATTACCTTATTTCTGTCTAGAACATAACATGCAAATCTATCTTTTGATGATACAAACCGTGTAGCACAACTGATGTTTCATGTGAGAGAGCCAAGCAGATTTAGTCTCCATGGAGAACACTTTGTGATACATAGAAAATCTTTACAATAGATTTTCAAATGTTTATCCTCTACTGAGATGAATTCAGAACCACAGCTGTAAGCTGTGTCTATGCAAGCTGATTTTTTCTGGAAATGTACCGTTAATATATAACAAAACCTTTTGAAGGTATGGGCATCTGTTCACAAAAGAAGTGGAAGACAATGTTAAAATTCACATTTCCAAACCTCATCTATAACAGCTGTTGAACGTGCTTAACCTTGACACAGTAGTCATGTGGTAGTAGTCATGCGTAACAGTACAAGCCAAAAACTTGGAGATGAAGATCCAAATGATATATTTTTGAAACCTGCCCAGATACCTGTACAAAGTAACAAGTCAAAATAAAGTAACAAATTTATGAAGGCTGTTGGGAAGCAAAAGGCATAACCCAAAGATCTAAAGGTAAGTGAAAAACCCCAGACTTATATATCTTACATCCGACAGCTTTTGGAACTCAGTATCAGTTCTTAAATAAGCACAGAGCTCCATAATAAGTTAGGAAAAAGCTGTAACGAGAGACCTTTGCCAGGTTAGTTTCACCCCTTTGGACAAGGATCGTCTCTGTTTTGATTGCTGTGATGCTTCACAGGGCTAATAGCGAGAAGACAGGTCCTGTGTGACATAGAGTGGCTGAAAAATTCATCCTGTAATGGGAAGGAGGGTCATAAGACACCTGAAGTGCAGCTCCAGTGAGGTGCCAGGGCCAGCTCGGCAGGTACAGGCTGCAGTCAGAACAACCCAGACAAAGTCTGCAGGATCATCCCCTCCTACCCAGGAAAGCAGGAGCTGTGACGGTCTGTTTGGGTTTGGAGTAACTTTTATATTGACCTTGCTTAAAGAACGGATATTATAATTTTTAATCAGGAAATGAAGAAATAAGCCTGGCAACATATTTTTTGCTTAATGCTGACTTTCAGATAAGCACAAAGAATGGTGTTAAGGCATTCATTTCATGGATGTTACTGTATTTTCTTATACTTCTAGAAAATACTAATAGACTATATGTATACAAAAAAACTAACCCAAAACAACCTATATTACTGCTCCAAAAAAGTGAAATAAATTTAAACAAAATCACTAGAGTATACAATGAGGTCATTTTACTGATCTTTATTTTCATGTTTCTAAATAATCAGACTTTGAAACACTACAGATTTTTTTAGCATTTATTTTATAGTCAGAAAGAAATAACAAAAAGAAGCCTTTTGAACTATACAGTGCTTGAGACAAATTCAGATGTGACTTAAAGAATAAGTCAGCAGTAAATGAATTTCTTCCATTGTGTCTTTGAAATGATTCAATGAAAAGGGAAGAAACAATCAGCCATCATCATTCACATGGCAACAATAGAGCTGACTCTACAGCAACCAAAACAAGTTCTTTAAACTATGCATTACTAGGATTGGTAGAACTGAAAAATACAGGTTATTGACTGTTTCCATGTAATTCTGTTGTTCCCACTGTGTTTTTTCTAGCAACTGTGCCTCCTCAGCCTAAACTGTTGGTTTCAGTATCTGTTTTCCCAGTGCGAGCTAGGACATTAACTGTTGCTTCTAGTGAAACTGGGACAAGATGAGAAGAACATTGAAGCGATTTTTTAATTTCGTTTCCAAAGATGAAAAGTAGACACAGCGTGCTGATGCATGGCTTCCCAAAGGGATATTGTTGTTCTGTGGAAGTCATCTGGAGGGTTAAGACTGAGTCTAGTTTAGTGAGGTGCAGGGTCCTATTTGCTATTCCAGGAAAATATTTTGGCTTACTGTTCCGTAAATCAAAGCAGCTGCAGCCAGTAACAAGGAAGCTTGCAACTTACAAAAATCTTCTCCATGAAGCAGAGAGATGATTCAAGGTTATACACACTTAGATACATACAAAGCATCTCCCTGATCAAACAGTTCAAGGAGAAATTATCTCAGCTGCATAGGATTTCATGATGACAATCTGAAGACAATTACAGCAAAATGTCTCTTTGTCAGGCTTCCTTGACAGAGACACAGAGAGAGCAAATACCTGAACCAAATGTTCCTGTTGTGCCTGCAAGTTTATAAGGAAACTTTTCTTTTGTGATTTTGCATTGTTAAAAGGCAATTTATACAAGTACTTATCTGACAGCAGATGCTGTTGTCTGACTTTAGTGCCTTAATCTGCTACTAAAAACAGCTTTATTTTTCTCTTTCTGAGAAACCATAAAAAGGTTGTGTTTATCATGTGCAGGTCTCTCTTTGTGTTAAAATAAGTTATTTTAACATTGCAGATCTTCTAACTACTGGCTCAACCGCATCCAGTCCTTTCTCTACTGCAATGAAAACGGCCTCCTGGGAAGCTTTTCCGAAGAGACTCACACGTGCACCTGCCCCAATGACCAGGTTGCCTGCCATGGGTTCCTGCCCTGCACGGTGGGAGATGGCTCATCATGCCTGAGCTGTGCTCCGGACAACCGCACCCGCTGCGGGAGCTGCAACCCTGGCTACATGCTGAGCCAAGGGCTTTGCAAGCCCGAAGTGGCTGAGTCGACGGAGCACTACATCGGGTTCGAGACTGACCTTCAGGACCTGGAAATGAAGTATCTGTTGCAGAAGACAGACCGGAGAATCGAGGTCCATGCCATTTTCATCAGCAATGACATGCGCCTCAACAGCTGGTTTGATCCATCTTGGCGCAAGCGGATGCTCCTTACTCTTAAGAGTAACAAATACAAATCTAGCCTGGTCCACATGATACTGGGCCTCTCTCTTCAAATTTGCCTAACTAAAAACAGCACCTTAGAGCCCGTCCTCGCTGTTTACGTCAACCCTTTTGGGGGCAGCCACTCTGAGAGCTGGTTTATGCCTGTGAATGAAAATAATTTCCCAGACTGGGAACGGACTAAGCTGGACCTGCCCCTTCAGTGTTATAACTGGACGCTGACTCTGGGCAACAAGTGGAAGACATTTTTTGAAACCGTACACATCTATTTGAGGAGTCGAATAAAGTCAAGCGGTCCAAATGGCAACGAGAGCATCTACTATGAACCCCTGGAATTTATTGATCCCTCAAGAAATCTGGGCTACATGAAAATCAATAACATCCAAGTGTTTGGCTACAGCATGCACTTCGACCCAGAAGCAATTCGAGACTTGATTTTGCAGCTGGACTACCCCTACACTCAGGGATCACAGGACTCAGCACTTTTGCAGTTGTTAGAGATACGGGATCGTGTAAATAAACTCTCTCCACCCGGTCAACGTCGGCTAGACCTCTTCTCTTGCTTGCTCCGTCATAGACTCAAACTGTCTACCAGTGAAGTGGTGAGGATTCAGTCTGCTTTGCAGGCCTTTAATGCCAAATTGCCAAACACAGTGGATTATGACACAACCAAATTATGTAGTTAACCATAAATGTGAAGCACAACACAAAACCTTGAAGGAGTTTTTACAGTGCTTTTGTGGAACAGTTTATGTTTGGAAGAGTAAATTTAAATTGTCTTTTCAATATCTGTCTTATATCAGTCAATACTGTTGGATGGCAATTTACACACATGAACTTGCTGACAATGAATATATTATACCTGCAGTTTTGGTTTATGAATGAAATAAATACTGACACCAGTCTAGAAGACATTCTACTTTTTACAATAAATTTCATTTGTAATTTTATATGTTACGTGGCAATGCTTTTGTGCATTACATCCTCTAGAGGGAACATAGAAGGATACCAATAAAGTTTTGTAGCTGAACAGTTATTAAAAAGAAATGCTGTGGGATTCTTTTTTCTTACACAAAAGTAGTAACTTTGGTATACTTTTGTGTATGTTTAAACATAGGAGGTGTAGGAAAAGAGAAGATAGGGACTTAACATTTTAATGGAAACTGTAGAAAAGTCAGAGCCATAGAATATTGTACTTTTAGGATGTAGATCTAAATGTTTGTGCTGACCTGAAGTGACAGCCTACTCCACCTGAAGTTTTCTTAAGGCATAGCCTTGTCAGGGGGCTTCACGTGGCACGCAGAGACCCTGAGTGATAATATTGAGTGGCTTAGGATGGACAGGAGGTTATTGCTGTAAGATACCCAGTAGTGGAAGATTGCATTAGCCCAAGAGGAGGCAGGTGAGAGTTTGTCTTCGCAACTGATATTGCTCACATTACAAAAGAAAAAACCTTTTCCAGACAAAGAGCTTTTTGAAGGTCTCCCTAATCCTTTGCTTTGCATATTTATAGAAAAAATTAAGCACATATATGCATTACCTCCTCCCAAATACACACACTATGTTTATCTAGAATGTTCTGGTTTAAACTACTTAATTTAATACCATCCATGCTGATTAGATTCAAATTAATTTAAAAAACTTCACTGACAATGCGACTGTTTAGTATGTGGATATTTTTTCATTAATACAGGTAATATCCTTTTAGTTCAAGATTTTTCAGTTTAAGATAATATACCCTTTTACATATACGTGACAATTATTGAAATCTAGTGTGTAAAGCTGAAAGTGCAAATAAATATGTCATTATCAATTGATGAAATTAATTAAATGTGCATCACTCTGAATCAGAATTAGGTTCTTTGGTATTTTACACATTCCAGCAGAAAAAATACATCTATGACCACAGAACTTGGAATGCTCAAGAAGGTTTTTCTACCTCATGAAAGAGAATAGAACAAATGGCTGTCAGAAGTCGTTATTAGCAAACACAGGGTAGAGTGAAGAAAGTTGATACAAAGTCTTTTCGTAACACCTTTTTACATTACGTCTGAATCTATGTCATTAATGTAAAAGCCAAATTGCTTTATAAAGTGGGAGAGGATTACATATAAAACTACCATTTTATGTGCAAGCACAGAAAGAAAAAAATCTAAACATAATTCCCATGCAATTTTAGTTCAACTAGACTTCAATTAATTTCAATTAAATTTGATTTTATTAATTTCAATTTAGACATATTACAATTCAGTTCTGAATTGTAGCCTAATCTAAATTTAAAGTACACTCCTCACTCCGTTTCTAGCTAGACCACAGCAGTATAAGAAATGCTCTGCTTCAGCTGTATATGTAAGCAAAATAAAAAAAAAAGCAAAGCTAGAAACACTTCATAAAGCCTACTGCCAAGTGATTCCTGAGTCTTCTGATTTCACCAAATTCTTATAAGGATTACTATTTCACCACCACACACTCAGATAACTCCTCAGACCTTCTATACTAGGAAACCTCCCAGAACTAAAATTATATTTTTGTCTTGTAATCAATCTCTATATGAATTCCTCTTTCTTTTCTACTTACAGCTGTCTTTTGCTAATAAATAATCTATCTCAGCCTCTCTTCTATATGTTAAAATTTTGCCTTACTCTTGGATTGGTAAAACCCTCTCAGTTAAGATTCGTCCTGTTCCTGTTTTCATCTCCAAGTCTTTCCTTAAGTATGTTTTTGGTGACTATAAATAATTGCAGAATTAGCTTGATTTTAACATTCACTAACTTATGCAGTATTTTTGAACAAACAAATTACTACAATGTTATAAAATTAACAAAGAGAAAAAAACTCCTGTACAATAGAAATGTGGGGTAATGATGAATAAGGCATTTGCTTATGTTTTCCCTTTCCTAGGGAAAAATACTGATATATCATGGTAAATGATCTGAGGGGTTTTTTCCCCTCTTTAAGACTCCTTCCTAAAATAATTTCTTAATGGCTATTTTTTCTTTCTGGTTTGGTTTTTGTTGTGGGTTTTTTTAATACTTTTCTCTGCCAAGATGGAAAGTTCTTTGCTATGTCCAAATATGTACATACTAGAATGTACAAATAAAAAGAGGTTTCGGCGAGACATTATTTAATTAGTGTACAACACATTAGGCGTATTTGACTGGAGGAGTGGAAACCTCTGTAATTTCTGTATCTTTGTGACAAATTAGAAATACAACTTTCTTATCTGACCTGTAATGGATCAGTTTTGGATTTTCAAACCTGCAGGATCTTGGAATAGTGAGGGTTTCTGCTTTACCAAAACCAGATTCTGTAAAGATAAATATATTTAAAAAAGTGGGGGAAAAAAAGGCACTAGATTTATCTGGTTCTCAAGTTGCGAACAGGAGCCAACAGTATTTCTCTTTTGATACTTTTTCAACTGAAGTCTTTCCATGTTCTCAAAAAGAACTTCAGAGTATGTCAAAAAAAAGAGGAGTCTGAATGAGTAAAAACAGTCAAGGACCTGACCCATAAAAAAATTTTGGAATAAGATATGAACACAGCTGGGGGGAGGAAAGAACTAGGGTTACGTGTATGTGCATTCATTTCCACATGGACATTGCAGGTAATATTTAGTGTATGCTGCACATCAGATCCCAGCTCTGCAGTTTTTGCTGTTCATTTCCCTTTGCATTCACCAATGCTGTTATTACCTGCCATTATAAACTGAAAAAACCCCACCCAGAAATATAGTAATATATGGAATGGTACCATGACAACCTAAAACATTATTCAGAACAAACTCTAGTGACCACAGTTGTAATAAACAGGTAGTTATTAATTATAACATAGTAACCTTCCTGCTTAAGGGAAGGCAAGTGTTATCTGATACAAAACTCCAAACAAAATACCATTTTCGAAGCAAATACAATTCAGATTGTGTCTGAAGGCTGGGAGCCAAACTAATGCCTGGAAGTTCTATTGCAGGAATAAACTGTAATAGCGATGGGCTTCCTTATCACTGCCTAGAAACCAGAATTACACTTGTCAGAGTGACCTAGACCTCTTGGTGACACAATTCAGAATACCAAGGCTGAAACAAATCATACTAAAAAGATCATGAAGATTAATAAACTTCCATTTTACTAGGGTTTTTAACAAGTGCAAGAGAGCCCCTGTGTCTCACAGGAGTTAAAACAAGAGACCAGGATCACCTTGGGTGTGGTAGGAGTTTAGTAATAAGAAATGTCACGGCTCCTTTTTCATGAGAATTGGTGACATGAGGGACCTGGACACCACAGCTGGTGCGGTGTTACTGCTGCCAGTGCACAGCGCAGGCAGCCCATAGGGCTGTGTGACTGACTTGAGTGGTTGGATTCAATCATCTTAAAGGTCTTTTCCATCCTCAATGGTTCTGTGATTCTCTGATGATATGACTTTGGGTCTAGTCAATCAGCTTCATATTCTAAGCAAGAAATCTACTCTGGTTGTAACATGATGTTCTTCTGCATACAGGTATCACTTAGGAAGCAAGCTATAACCCTGGGGCACAGCGTTTATAATGTCAACTCATCCACGTGACAGAGGGGTCTTTGGCTTTCTGGACTCCCAAATTTAGCAGCGGCCACACCACGGATTACACTGCTTTGGGAGCGAGGGTGTGTGAAGGAGGGAGGCGTTATCTCTTTCTCTACTCACCAAACCAACCACATTGAGGTGTGAATTATGATTAAGGAAACAGGTTTTACCTCCAAGAAATGAAGCGATTTTTTGCCTTCCCTACAGATTATTTCTTGGATGGTGAGGTGCATCTCTTGTCAACACACATTTTTATGGCACATTTTAGTCCAACACAGACATTTATGAAAGAGAAATACAGCTAAATGTCAATGCCAGGAAAAACAGGCATTGTAGGACTGTCTGCTCTCTGGGCACAGCCACACCAGTCATTGTATGTCTGCCTGTGATCTCCTCTTCAACAGATAGCCAACAGAAAAGAAGCTGAAACCACCTGGGAACACAGGTGGTTTTGCTCTGAAAATAACACTCCCCTGGGAGGGCTTAATCTAGAGCACAACCACCTTTTGAAGACATTACAACAGCTTTCTGCTTTTAAAAAAAATCCTTCTTTTTGTCATTTCTTAGCTGACGTGAAAGGGGAAAGAGCAACAGAGGATTAAAACAAAGCTCTGTGTGTGTGTATCAAGCTGTGATTCCTCTGCAGGGAAGAACAGAGAGACTTTGCAGTCCCATTGGGATCTTGTCACAGGTGAGTAACTGGCTCTAAGAGCATTTAGATACAATAGGGATAAATGCAACAGAAGACCAGAAAGGCAAAGATTAGGTACAATCACTTAGCATGAATGTAACACAACAAAATTGACCATAATTAGTTTTGAACACACAAAATTGTGTCTTACATCTTTCTCTCCCCAGGGAAGAAAATTTAAGCATGAAACATGCATAAGAGAACAACAAAAGATGATTAATATTATAATCTTCTTCTCTGTGTCTTTTTTATTAAGCCCCCTCCTCCACTTCAGTTATTCAGTGTATTAGTTACATATAAGGACAGGCTGAGAGAGTTGGGGTTGTTCAGCCTGGAGAAGAGAAGACTCTAGGGATACCTTACAGCAGCCTTCCAGTACCTGAAGGGGGCTACAGGAAAGCTGAGGAGGGACTGCTTACAAGGGCATGTAGTGACAGGATGAGGGGCAATGGTTTTAAACTAGAGCAGGGTAGATTTAGGTAAGACATTAGGAAGAAGTTCCTTACTATGAAGGTTGTGAGACACTGGCACAGGTTGCTGAGAGAGGTGGTGAAGGCCCCATCCCTGGAGACTTTTGGGGTCAGGTTTGATGGGGCTCTGAGCAACCTGATCTAGTTGCAGATGTCCCTGCTCACTGTAGGGGTGTTCACTTTAAAGGTTCCTTCCCATAGAATGCATTCTATGATTCTATGAAATTTCCAATGTAAGTAAGAAACTAAGGGGCAGGGAGGAGGGAGGGAAGAAGGAAAAAAAAGCACTTTTTAAAAGTTAAGAAAAACAAAGTAGTA